GGTCTAAAATCGTCCGAAAAAAAAAATTGGCTGATTTTCGGGCCATTAGTGGGTTAATTGGTCAGCCATTTTTGGGGATTTTGTAATTGGTAAATTTGGATAAAAATCGGCCGATTTTGCAGATTGGCCGATTTTAGCTGCAATGATCGGCAAATTGGCTGATCTTTTAACAGATAAAAAATCTGCACCTGCAAGAAAAAGAAGAAGAAAATGAAAAAGAAGAAGAAAATGAAAAAGAAGAAGAAAAAAAAAAGAAGAAAAAGAAGAAAAAGGAAAAATGCAGGCCATAGATGGGGCGAAAACGGACCGTTTTTAAAAAAAAAAAAAAAAAAAACGAAAAATCGGTTGTTCAATGGGGGCCGACGTTACCACCAATGGTAAAACAAATCGGCCGATTTTTCGCCCCGTCTACGGCCGGCAAATATAATAGCAAAGTAATTCCTTCTGTCCCTGCAGAGAGCTGCGCTATTATATTAGACATTAAAAAGTATAAAGGTTGCAACATTGTATCTATATGTATCCGAATAAAAAACATCTATATCCGGAATGGATACAAATAGATACAATGTTGCAACCTTTATACTTTTTAATGTCAAATATAATAGCGCAGCTCTCTGCAGGGACAGAAGGAATGTTTCAGCTCTCATCGGGGTTTCCCACTGACAGCTGAATTTTAAATTATTTCTGTGAATTAAATAATAAAAAAAAAAACAGCTTGGGGTCCCCCCCTCCCATCCATACCAAGCCCTTCGGGGGTCCCCCCTCCCATCCACACCAAGCCCTTCGGGGGTCCCCCCTCCCATCCACACCAAGCCCTTCAAGGGTCCTCCCCCTCATCCATACCAAGTACTTCAGGTCTGGTATGGATATTAAGGGGGAACTCCACACCGAAATTAAAAAAAAAAAAACAGCGTGGGTCCCCCTCAATATCCATACCAGACCCTTATCCGAGCATGCAGCCCGGCAGGTCAGGAAAGGGGGGGGATGAGTGAGCCAGATTATCAGAATCTGGAAGCCCCCTTTAACAAGGGGGCCCCCAGATCCCGGCCCCCCCTACGTGAATGAGGATGGGGTACATGGTCCCGCGACTCATTCACAAAAAAACAAAGTGTGGTGTAAAAAAAAACACAGTACAGGGTCTTTGACAAGTCCTTTATTAAAACAATGTCCCCCGAAGTAGATCCAACGTCAATTGCGGCGGCGGCAGGGACCCGAAAAAAGAAAAAAAGTTCCGCTCCCGTCGTAGGCTTCCAGCCTTGTGAAGAAGAGGCTAGCTGACAGTTCTTATATAGGTATGGGGCGGGGCCAGCCAGGGACATCATCCCCGCCCCTTACCTATGTAGGAATTGTCAGCCTGTCTCTCCACTGAGGCTAACTAGCTGAATGCAGGAGACAGTCTGACATTTCTTATATAGGTATGGGGCGGGGCCAGCCGGGGAAACAGCAAGCATGTGACATGGGGCGGGGTCACTCTGAAGATGTCCCCGGCTGGCCCCGCCCCATACCTATATAAGAAATGTCATCTAGCCTTTTCTTCACAAGGCTGGAAGCCTCCGACGGGAGCGGAACTTTTTTTTTTTTTTTTTTTCGGGTCCTGCCGCCGCCGTGATTGACGTTGGATCTACTTCGGGGGACATTGTTTTAATAAAGGACTTGTCAAAGACCCTGTACTGTGTTTTTTTTACACCACACTTTTTTTTTTTGTGAATGAGTCTGCGGGACCATGTACCGCAGACTCCTTCACATAGGGGGGGGGGGCCGGGATCTGGGGGCCCCCTTGTTAAAGGGGGCTTCCAGATTCTGATAAGCCCCCCGCCCGCAGACCCCCACAACCACCGGCCAGGGTTGTGGGGAAGAGGCCCTTGTCCTCATCAACATGGGGACAAGGTGCTTTGGGGGGGGGAGCCCCCCCTGCCCCAAAGCACCCCCCCATGTTGAGGGCATGTGGCCTGGTATGGTTCAGGAGGGGGGGGCGCTCGCTCGTCCCCCCCCTTTCCTGACCTGCCGGGCTGCATGCTCGGATAAGGGTCTGGTATGGATGGGAGGGGGGACCCCACGCTGGTTTTTTTTTTTTGCGGACCTTTATTTTTACATTCAGCTGTCAAAATAAATATTATCTAGACCTTCGAAATAAGTAAAATCATCACAGAAATAATTATAAAGGATAAGAAACAAAAATATAAACTCACTAAAATCGAAGGAAATCTAATTAGATTACATGAAGATATGCTTAATGCTGTGTTATTAAACACAGTAGTCGCGACCGAGTGCCGGCTGTCAGAGGACTCCACACACAGGAGACGACCGAGTGCCGGCTGTCAGAGGACTCCACACACAGGAGACGCCACCGAGTGTGCAGAGCTGTCAGAGGGACTCCACACACAGGAGACGCCACCGAGTGCCGGCTGTCAGAGGACTCCACACACAGGAGACGCCACCGAGTGCCGGCTGTCATCAGGAGGACTCCACACACAGGAGACGACACCGAGTGCCGGCTGTCAGAGGACTCCACACACAGGAGACGCCACCGAGTGCCGGCTGTCAGAGGACTCCACACACAGGAGACACCGAGAGTGCCGGCTGTCAGAGGACTCCACACACAGAGATTTACTATTGAGCAGTGGCTAAAAAGCAAGCAAGCGCCTACAGAGGATGTCTAACATGTGTTCTGCACATGCGCATTTATATCGGCCATAGACACTGCACGGGCGTCTAGATTTTCACTGTGTCGATTTCCTTTAAAAAAAGATTTTTAACACATTCTTAATTTTTTTGGAAATAGCAGATATTGTTTAAAGTGAAGTCCTGATATCTGGTAAAGCAAATTTCTAAGTGAACGTCTCTGCAGTGATCTTTCATGGTGTCAGACGTGCCTCTTACCAAGTCTGCTTTGTGAGTCTGATTCCGGGCGTGTATCTCGTTAGTAAATTTGATTGGTGTCTATTTATGGGCGCTGCTCAATAGTAAATCTCGTTGCGGGGTAAAATAGACGGTCGCTCATAAAAATTGGACGTTCGCCCACCAATATGCGCCCAAACCCAATAGTAAATCAGGGCCTCTGGGTCGTCTGTCTCTCTCTCTCTGATATGTAGGACAGGACATTCTTGGTCGTCAGTTTCTCTCTGATATGAAGGACGGGACATTCTGGGTCGTCTGTCTCTCTAATATGAAGGACGGGACATTCTGGGTCGTCTGTGTCTCTCTGATATGAAGGACGGGACATTCTGGGTCGTCTGTGTCTCTAATATGAAGGACGGGACATTCTGGGTAGTTTGTCTCTCTCTCTGATATGAAGGACGGGACGGGACAATCTGGGTAGTCTGTCTCAGTCTCTGATATGAAGGACGGGACATTCTGGGTTGTCTGTCTCAGTCTCTGATATGAAGGACGGGACATTCTGGGTAGTCTGTCTCTCTCTGATATGAAGGACAGGACATTCTGGGTAGTCTGTCTCTCTCTCTGATATGAAGGACGGGACATTCTGGGTATTCTGTCTCTCTCTCTGATCTGATATGAAGGACGGGACATTCTGGGTAGTCTGTCTCTCTCTCTGATATGAAGGACGGGACATTCTGGGTCATCTGTCTCTCTCTGATATGAAGGACGGGACATTCTGGGTAGTCTCTCTCTCTGATATGAAGGACGGGACATTCTGGGTAGTCTGTCTCTCTCTCTGATATAAAGGACGGGACATTCTGGGTAGTCTGTCTCTCTCTCTCTGATATGAAGGACGGGACATTCTGGGTCGTCTGTCTCTCTCTCTGATATGAAGGATGGGACATTCTGGGTAGTCTGTCTCTCTCTCTCTGATATGAAGGACGGGACATTCTGGGTAGTCTGTCTCTCTCTGATATGAAGGACGGGACATTCTGGGTAGTCTGACTCTCTCTGATATGAAGGACGGGACATTCTGGGTAGTCTGTCTCTCTCTGATATGAAGGACGGGACATTCTGGGTAGTCTGTCTCTCTCTGATATGAAGGACGGGACATTCTGGGTAGTCTGTCTCTCTCTGATATGAAGGACGGGACATTCTGGGTCGTCTGTCTCTCTCTCTGATATGAAGGATGGGACATTCTGGTCAGTCTGTCTCTCTCTGATATGAAGGACGGGGACATTCTGGGTCGAATGAAGACGGGACATTCTGGGTAGTCTGTCTCTCTCTGATATGAAGGACGGGACATTCTGGGTAGTCTGTCTCTCTCTCTGATATGAAGGACGGGACATTCTGGGTAGTCTGTCTCTCTCTGATATGAAGGACGGGACATTCTGGGTAGTCTGTCTCTCTCTGATATGAAGGACGGGACATTCTGGGTAGTCTGTCTCTCTCTCTGATATGAAGGACGGGACATTCTGGGTAGTCTGTCTCTCTCTGATATGAAGGATGGGACATTCTGGGTAGTCTGTCTCTCTCTGATATGAAGGATGGACATTCTGGGTACTGTCTCTCTCTGGAAGGACGGGACATTCTGGGTAGTCTGTCTCTCTCTCTGATATGAAGGACGGGACATTCTGGGTAGTCTGTCTCTCTCTGATATGAAGGATGGGGACATTCTGGGTAGTCTGTCTCTCTGATATGAAGGATGGGACATTCTGGGTAGTCTGTCTTAGTCTCTGATATGAAGGGTGGAATATTCTGGGTAGTTGTAGTAAAATATATTTTTTAACAGTTGGTTGCATAAGAGTTAGGTTTATTGTTTCTTACTTTTTATTAGTTAATTTGACTCCTCCCTGATATCTCTGTAAGGTAATACAATGCAGGAATGGGTATTAGGGGACATTTCTCGGGATGCAGTTCCTCTGAACTCCACAAGATGGTGATCTCATTTCTACTAACCAGACAGGACTTCTCTAGAATACAGACAGGAAGTGATGTCAGGAACAGACAGGAAGTGACATGGAATAAATACAGGCTGTGCCATTCGGTGTGAATGAGATCGGAGACATTGCAGGGAGTAGCAGCAGAGGAGGTAATAAGATGTTATGTTCTATTTACACCCAGTAACCCCCCAGTCATGTCCGTCCTCTTCCTCCGTCTTCCACCAGTCCTCCATAGTCAGTCACGTGATGTCTTTTATCTCCAGTAGATGATGATACACATCAAGGATATTTAGAAGGACACAAGGGACATCTACAAGGACGTCATGATGGACCCAGAGAGGACACAAGGACCACAAGGACGTCATAGGAGGACACAAGGACCTCTACAAGGACGTTCATGATGGAGGGACCACAGAGAGGACACAAGGACCTCTACAAGGACGTCATGATGGAGGAACACAGAGAGGACACAAGCCCTCTACACATGATGGAGGACCACCGAGAGGACACAAGGAACCTCTACAAGAGTCATGATGGAGGACCACCAGAGATTGGACTCTACAAGGACGTCATGATGACAATCAGCCGCCGTCACATCACCGGGTAAGAGGAGACTTTATTGTAAAGGAGAGAGCAGTACGGAGGATCCACCTAGATCCCCCATCATCTGATAAACACATAGAAACAATGGATTCAGTCAGTGTGTGTGTTTCCTACAGATGGATCCAGTCATGGAACCCCAGGAGAGATGTCCCCGTCCTCTGTATTCCCGGGATTCCACACAGGAAGGTACACCATCTCACCATCATCAGGTAAGATGGGGATCCAGTCATGGGAACCCACCAGAGAAATCTCCCCGTCCTCTGTATTCCCCGGGATTCCACACAGGGAAGGTCACACCATCCCTCACCATCATCAGGTAGATATTAATATACAGTATTTATATAGCAGCAGAAGGTGTGCTCAGCGCTGTACATTATAGTGGGGACAGAACATGAGACAATACAGTAACAATACAATACACGAGGGGTGCGAGGGCCCTGATCCTTGGAGCTTACAATCTAGGAGGGAGGGGGTAGAGGTACAGGAGGAAGTGGCTGTGGGGGATGGAGTGGTAGGAGGAGTGGAGGAGATCGGCTGTTAGGTGAGGGTGGGGTAGGCTTCCCTGAAGAGATGGGTTTTCAGGGTGCGACTAAAGGTGAGGAGGGTAGGTGACAGTCTGATGGATTGGGGTAGTGAGTTCCAGAGGAGGGGAAGAAAGAAAGTCCTGCAGTCGGGCATGGGAGGAGGAGACCAGGGAGCTAGAAAGTAGGAAGTCTTGTGAGGGTAGTGAAGATTACGGGTTGGATGGTATTTGGGTATCAGATCGGTGAGGTAGTTTGGGGCGGAGTTATGATTGGCTTTGTATGTCAGAGTTAGGAGTTTGAATTTAATGAGTTGGGCAATCGGGAGCCAGTGGAGGGAATGACAGAGGGGGGTGGAGGACACTGAGTGGAGGCCAGTGGAGGGATGACAGAGGGGGGTGGAGGACACTGAGTGGAGGCCAGTGGAGGGAATGACAGAGGGGGGTGGGAGCCAGTGGAGGGAATGACAGGGGAGTGGAGGGAATGACAGAGGGGGGTGGCAGAAGAGGAGCGGTTGGTGAGGAGGATGAGTCTGGTGCTGAGTTCAGGATAGACTGAAGCGGGGATGGCCGGTGAGGAGGGATGGGGTGGCCGGGAATGGCCGGTGAGGAGGGGAGGGCCGGGGAGGAGGGGAGGCCGGGGAGGGGGGGAGGCGGTGAGGGGGGGAGGCGGTGATGAGGCAGTTGCAGTAGTCCACACGTGAGATGATAATGGGGTAGATGATGACAATTATTGGTAGGTGGGATTTATACTCGGCATGTTTGTTACAATGAATGTTTTATTATATCTCTCAGAGTGGAATCCTCGGGGATGATAATATTGATGGTAAAGAAGAGTATAAAGAGGAGGATGAGGAGGATGGAGTGATGGAGGAGTTTTCAGAAGGACACAAGGAGATGATGGAGCCACCTAATACCAGGAAGCCACCAGAGAGATGTCCCCGTCCTCTGTATTCCGGGATTCCACACAGGAAGGTCACACCATCCCTCACCATTGCAAGGTTGGTGGGATGGAGCATCTAGAACATGATTCATACAGACAATGTGTGGAGTTTCTGTGACCTTCTATCTTCCAGATGATATTTCCTCTCCTTCTCTTGATGTAGAGTGGAGATCCAATCGATATAGAATTTGAGGTGAAAGCAGAAGAAGAAGAGGCGTATGTGAGGGTATGATCAGCAGTCTATGGAGGAGGATGGAATAACGGGGACATTTATAGAGGAGGACACTCCTACAGAGATCAGCACAGGTGGGTCATGAACACCAAATCCATTCCTCCACCCATACTGCTCACTGATTGGTCCAGAGTAGGGCGGGGGTGGGGTGATATCAGCCTGTAATACATCAGAAGAAACAATGCCGTCCCGATTGATCCGGTAAACGTATCTGGATTATATCTGCAACTCACTTCAATAAAAGCGTGGATTGTAAACCTGAAATACTGGAACTCAGAAAAAATGGCGGCTGACTGGCGCATTACCCACCTACAAAGTGGTTCCTTCCATCCCATGCGGAGTCATGTGACCTACAAACGTTCAATGCCATGTTGTATGTATTAGATCACACGGGTCATAGAAAGGTTGTCATTCACATGGTGGACGTGCTGTAATCATAGAGGGGAGTGGAGGGAATGACAGAGGGGGGTGGAGGACACTGAATGGAGGTCAGTGGAGGGATTGGCAAAAAGGGGTGGAGGTCAGTGGAGGGATTGGTAGAGAGGGGTGGAGGTCAGTGGAGGGGAATGACAGAGGGGGGTTGAGGTCAGTGGAGGGATTGGCAGAGAGGGGCAACAGTCACTGATGGTTTGGTAAGGTGTATGAGTCTAGCAGCATTCATAATAGAGTGAAGGAGGTGTGGCCTGTGTGACGGTAGACCAGTGAGGAGGGAGTTGCAGTAATGGAGGCGGGATATAACAAGGCGTGGATGAGTTGTTTGTGGTGTCATTGGTCAGGAAGGGGTGGAGTTTGGCAATGTTCCGGGGTTGAGGGGGCGGCAGATTTTTAGCCGGTGATTGGATGTGGGGGCCGGAAGGAGGGGTCAGAGTCTAGGGTGACGCCCAGCACCCCCAGCATGAGAGGCTTATTAGAGGCTCAGTGCGCTTCCTATAGGGGTGTATGAGACCTGCGTCCCGTATCACTGACCGTATATAACATAGTATATACTATATACCACCTAGAGCCCAAACATTTCCTCCCTCACACTCGGGCTGCAGGCAGAAAACCAACGTTCCGGATTCCCATCTAAAGTCACTCAGCAATCAGACTGTTACTGGCCACCGGAGGAAGTGAGCCGTGTCTCTGAAATCACCGAAAAGACTCCTTAGAACGGTTGTCCTCGTCATATTCTAGATTGCCTCGTGCTCATCCAAGATGGAGCTGCATCTCATGCCTCTTCCCTCCTCGTGGTACCGCACCCTATGAATACGCGAGCGTGATGACGTCATATCCCGTTTCCCTGTATTCATCATTTTTCCATGATTTCATCCCTCGGAGGTAATAAATACAACATGGCATTGAAGGTTTGTAGGTCACATGACTCGCATGGGATGGAATGAAGCACTTTGTAGGCGGTAATGCGCCAGTCAGCCGCCATTTGTTCTGTGTTCAGCCTGTAATCCCGGGTCACTTCCCTGAGCTGTGTTCCCCGTCCTGTATTCCTGGATTTCTCACTCTACCATAATCTTCCTTCTCTGTTATCTGCTGGCTGTGCCGGGTGGAGGGATATGTCTGTAGTGTCTCAGACCCAAGTCACTGAGTGCAGTCTCAGGAGATGGGAGGCAGCGGTGTGGGACCTACATAGTTACATAGTTAGTCTGGCTGAAAAAAGACATCCATCTAGTTGTACCATTAATAATAAAAGTTATAATCCGACACCCACAGCTGATCCACCAGAAGGCAAAACCCAGCAAAGCACGATCCGATCTCCTCCTGCAGGGGAAACATTCCTCCCTGACCCTCGAGAGGCAATCGGATATTCCCGGGATCAACTTTCCCTATAAATGTTATATCCAGTTATATTCTGTGTATCCAAGAAAGGATCCAGGACTTTCCTACAGCAACCCCCCCCCCCCTTATGTGATCATATTTCCCCTTATGTATTATAATGGAGATCATATCCCTTTATGTATTATACATGGAGATCATATCCCCCCCTTATGTATTATACATGGAGATCATATCCCCCCTTATGTATTATAATGGAGATATATCCCCCTTATGTATTATACATGGAGATCATATCCCCCCCATATCCCCCCCCCTTATATATTCTACATGGAGATCACATCCCCCCCTTATATATTCTACATGGAGATCACATCCCCCCCTTATGTTTTCTACATGGAGAGTCATATCCCCCCCTTATGTATTATACATGGAGATCATATCCCCCTTATGTATTATACATGGAGATCATATCCCCCCTTATGTATTATACATGGAGATCATATCCCCCCCCCTTATGTATTATACATGGAGATCATATCCCCTTATTGTATTATACATGGAGATCCCCCCCCCTTATGTATTATACATGGAGATCATATCATGGAGATCCCCCCCCTTATGTATTATACATGGAGATCATATCCCCCCCCTTATGTATTATACATGGAGATCATATCCCCCCCCTTATGTATTATACATGGAGATCATATCCCCCTTATGTATTATACATGGAGATCATATCCCCCTTATGTATTATACATGGAGATCATATCCCCCTTATGTATTATACATGGAGATCATATCCCCCCTTATGTATTATACATGGAGATCATATCCCCCCCTATGTATTATTTACATGGAGATCATATCCCCCCTTATGTATTATACATGGAGATCATATCCCCCCCTTATGTATATCCCCCCTTATGTAATTATACATGGAGATCATATCCCCCTTATGTATTATACATGGAGATCATATCCCCCCTTATGTATTATACATGGAGATCATATCCCCCCTTATGTATTATACATGGAGATCATATCCCCCTTATGTTTATACCCATATCCCCTTATGTATTATACATGGAGATCATATCCCCCCCTTATGTATTATACATGGTGATCATATCCCCCCTTATGTATTATACATGGAGATCATATCCCCCCTTATGTATTATACATGGAGATCATATCCCCCCTTATATGTATTATACATGGTGATCATATTATACCCCTTATGTATTATACATGGTGATCATATCCCCCCCTTATGTATTATACATGGAGATCATATACCCCCCTTATGTATTATACATGGAGATCATATCCCCCATGGAGATCATATCCCTTATGTATTATACATGGAGATCATATCCCCCCCTTATGTATATACATATACATGGAGATCATATACCCCCTTATGTATTATACATGGAGATCATATCCCCCCTATGTATTATACATGGAGATCATATCCCCCCCTTATGTATTATACATGGAGATCATATCCCCCCTTATGTATTATACATGGAGATCATATCCCCCCTTATGTATTATACATGGAGATCATATCCCCCTTATGTATTATACATGGAGATCATATCCCCCCTTATGTATTATACATGGAGATCATATCCCCCCCCTTATGTATTATACATGGAGATCATATCCCCCCCATTATGTATTATACATGGAGATCATATCCCCCCCTTATGTATTATACATGGAGATCATATCCCCCCTTATGTATTATACATGGAGATCATATCCCCCCTTATGTATTATACATGGAGATCTGGACTGGCCTTAGTGGCCTGGGACATCAGGTTCTCCGGACATCTCCGGGTCGATCTCTGGCAGTCTGGTCCTTCCCACAGGACATCAGGTGGCTACCTGAGCTTCCCTCTAGGGTCTGGTCATTGACACCTCCGATCGCTGGTTTGGTCACCGTCTGGGCCTTCATTACTAAATGATGGAAAACGAACAGTTTAAGTACCGGATATACATCTGATATGACTTGACCCCGTAAGCAAATGGTGAATGAAAAATGTTTACAGGAAATTCCATAATGACTTCAATATCTCCAGGTAGGAACTGGTGGGTTAGTCTTCCAACAACTGCAATTGTGACTTTGGATGGCAAGCACGTAATTGATTGATGTGCACCCATCTCTCACTGATCTCACCATTCCGGGGAATATGTCATTTATACAACTACGGGGAAATCTTGTCAACAATGGAGAACGGACCTTTCAAGACGGAAGGAATTTCCGCTCCTTGATCTGGTCTCTTGCAAAGTTGTATAGATAGACCTTGTCACCAATCTCATATTCCTTCTTGGAGGTTTGGAGATCATAGTATGTCTTAGCTCTAGTTGCAGCTCTTTATAAATTTCGCTGGGCAAAGGTGAAAGCATATTGCAGATGTTTACGTAGATCCTCTATGTATTGGTGTGTGGTGGTGGCATTGATGAAATTTTGATCTGTAGTGCGATACAACAAGTGCTGGGGCAGTACCATCCGTCTACCTGTCATCAGTTCAAAGGATGACATTTTTGTGACTGTATTCGGAGTTGCCCTCAAAGCCATCAGGACCAGCGGGAGTTTGACATCCCAATCTTTGCCTGTTTCCGTAACAAATTTCTTAAGGACGTTAACGATGGTCTGATTGTATCGTTCTACTCCACCACTAGAGGCTGGCCGATAGGCGATATGCAGTTTCCTTTTAACCCCATAATTTTCCACAGTTTGGCCATCACTTCACTAGTGAAGTGCGATCCTCTGTCAGACTCTATGTTCTGTGGGAGACCAAAACGTGAAAAGACATGATTTATTAGCAATGCAGCACATGTCTCGGAGCTATTATTTGGTGCTGGTATACATTCGACATACTTGGTAAATAAACATGTAACTGTTAACATATACCGATTTCCTCGTGAAGATTTTGTTATAGGCCCAATAAAATCCATCTGAAGGTCTGACCAAGGCATACATATCCCCCTTTTCTGGAGAGGTGCTCTGTGAGTTGGTTTGGTGGGTTGAAATTGGGGACATATCAGGCAACCTTGGCAGTACGCCTTCACATCACGTAACATATGAGGCCAGTAGGCATAATCCGGCAGGATCTCATGTGATTTTCTCTCCGCGATGCCCGGAAGTAGGAGCATCATGGGCATGCTGTAACATTAGACCTCTAAATTTAAGTGGGACGACCCATTGTTGGATACCACCCTTTGAGGTTCCTGTCAACAATCCCTGGTACAAAGAGAATTGGGATTTGGATTTCATTAAAATACGTAAATCCTCCTTCCCGCTACATATTTCCTGATTGAGGGGATCATGGTTGGGATCTTCTATATGTCTATAAAATAAGCCAATTATTGGGTCTTCTTTCTGGGCAGTAATTAA